TTAATTATTGTAATTTTTTAATTTTTATTTATTATAAACTTATTACTTAACTTTTTTTCAAATAGTTTTCCGTTTACTTTGCAACTTTGACTTACTTAACTTTTCACACCTCTCAGTTTTGTTCTTTTTCTACTTATCTCTTCAATGTTTACCTTCGCTCTCTGCTTAAGACGCACTTTCAGCAAATTGGTTGCTTTTGCCGTTTTTTAGACGAAAGCACTTCGTCTGTGCGACTTAACGTTAATACGGATTCCCCGTTTTTTCTCTGAAAGTAGAAAGAAAACAAAATTAGTGATTAATTAAAGACTTTTGAACTGAAGAAGTCTTTCACGAAGTTGTATAATCTTGACATGAATGGCTTAATGCAATCGATTGATATTATTGAAGAGAAGAATAACGCTTGAGTATTAAAAGGAAACTTATTTTATGGCTTTAATTAGGTATTCAACATGACGAGACGTATTGATGTCGCGATATTTGCCTATCTGGCCAAATGGTAGTCGATTTTTTGAAAATTATATTTCGGACACAACATTATATAATTTTTGAGGAATAATGGTGGGTTTTACTGGAGTTTAAACCCATTCCTGACAACCCTATGCAGATTAAATTGTAATTTCTTTATTTTATTTTTTAATTTTCTAAATGGCATCATTTTTACCTGAAATATTTGGAATAATCTTCGGTTATAAACTACGAGCTATGTGGCAACGCTGAAAAATCTTTCAACTACCTTTTCTTATACTTTATACCAATAATCAGCGTGGAAATATTCCAGAAAAATTTGCTCTCTTTAAATGCTTTTTAAATATAAGATGGAAATGGTGCTACCAGATTTCAAAAATTATCCGCTTTACGTTAGTTTGAAATTAGATGGCATATTTATAAAATTTTCTTTATTTTTTTTTTTTAGAAACGTGTAAAAGTCAGATAAATGTACATCTTTCCTTTAGAAATGTGGCAGCCTCTTTTTCGAAATTCACTGCATTCCATTTAACTTACACTTTCAAATCAGAAATAACGTTGTTTTTCTGATATTTTTATTTACATTTGAACTAAAAATAACAACGAAAAAAAAAATATACATATATATATTAATACAGTAGACGAATTCCGGTAATGATTGAAAGACCAGTAAAAATTTAGATTTTTGACAAAATCGCGGCTTTTCAAGAAAAAATTATCCTTCCAAGTCGTTAATTATTATCACAACTATTATTATTTAGATCTGACCTGACAAATAAATTAAAGAAGGTCGTGTAAAAATGTCAAAACGATCGGTCCACCCGAGTCGTTCGACACCGACTGTGAAATAAGTGTCACAAGAAAATCGTGTTTAAAGTCCATACGTCTATATGTCTCTAAAAACTCACTCGATATAGGTATCACAAGCATTCGTTTAGGCGCATAAAAGCATTTACATATTTTTTTACTTAAATTAGAGTGAGCAAATGTACTACTCATCACATCTTTAAAATATTTATTTCTGAAATATATGTAAATTTGATTATTCAATTATTAATTTATCGCTAATAATTGTCAACGTTTTCTATTAATATTTTGATTTAAAAATTCCAAAAATTTTTGAGATATCCTTTCACAATCCTTACACCTAAATTTCTGACCCACTTTGAGGCAACTTTACTTTAATTTAGTGTCTGTCAAATGGCATCAGCTCACTTCGAAACGAGTTTTTCGCGTTTATATGCTCACACACTTTATCGACTCTAAGACTCCGCGCTGAAGTAGTTTAGATTTTACTGCCACCTACTTGCGCATATCGCTCGGCGGGCGTACGCCAGCCAAACCTTTTGATATTTAGTGAGTTTGGAAACTACGAGCCAGCGTTTTCATTTCAATTGCATATCCGCTTTGCCAAAAATTACTTTTCATGGTGAAACTTTTCACGAAATCACAAAATTGCTTAGTAGCAAGTATAAATGGCGCATAATTCAAATTACTTCCTGCTATTGCCAAGTCAAAATGCACAATCTACATACAGACGTTAACGCAGATGGTACGGAGTACTAGAGCCGTCTAGTGGTGAAACCTCGTAGGGAAAGCAGAGATAAAATTTTATCGAAAAATGACTAGAAGTTAGGAATTGACGAGACGACAGAGAAAGGAAAAGTATTTTATCGGGTTTGAACTTGGGAAGTAAATGGAAACTTGCTTAAAAGGAATCTGCATTCGAGTAAAAAGTGGAACCGTTCTCTATAAGAAACTCTACTCGAATATCCAACTCACACTTGTATCTAGTGTCTCTCACATAAGACAAGATTCTTCGCTTCGAAGTCCAAACTACTTGGTTTCCAAAAATAAACGCAAGTGGTCTGAAAAGCAGTAGAATAAAACTAATTTGAACCTGGTTAGTTTCAATATAAGCCAGTAGGGAGCCACATACATTAATTTTTGTGTGCATAACAGCTTATAACGGTCGTTAACATTTTTGTGCAACAGCCATTTCATTTGTGGTTGTTGTCATGTATTGTTGGCAGTGCAGCGTTGCATTCATGATTATAACAATTTCCATTTCCGGCAATGTCATGCAAGTAAATAGAGACGGCAACTCAAGCGGAGTAAGCAACAAAAAGAGTAAAAGAAAAACAACAGCGAAAACACGAAAAGTCCGAAGACTGCACTGCCAGCATTTCCATTATGTAAGTCTTCCCTTTAATGGCTGTAAACGTTAGTGCGTACTTCGTTCAAGTTTTCACTAAATCAAAAGAGTCATTAGTAGTTTTCTAATATTTGACATGGCCGCCTGCATAGCCGACCGTTATCTTCATCATGGCCATTATTGTCATTATAGTTTTGGCCATTAGAGTTGCATTCAGCCAGTCACTGACGTGGTGAATGGTGCAGCAATTTTCAGTTGCAAATATAATTTATGACTTTCTTTCCCTGGCATTATCAGCATCGTCTTTTTCGGTTTCGTCATAATCATCATCATCATCATCATCACTATCCTTATCAATTTAATAAGCCATTCAAGCCAAACAATCTACTTTCACTAGAATACTCCTGTCTTTCATTTTGTCTAAGCGGTTCTGCATTCGCCCCCTCTTTCTCTCTTCTACTCTCGCTCTGCCTTTCTCATTTCCTTTTGCTTACCAAACTTTGTTTTAAATAGCGCTCTTTCACTCACTGCGCTCCAACAGTGTTGGCAAATTTTTAGGCATAGCACCGACATTCAGTAGCTGGAAATACAGTGTTTGGTAACTGGTTATTTGTTAAGATACTCGACTGAAGCAAAGACAATAATACAGATGGAAGAGTTTGACTTTACCGCGTCGTAGACTAATTAACGTTAAGAGGTATTTTATGAAACTAAGACATTAGACTTAAAACATACCCATCTTTACATCGAATTTATAAAAAAAAAAAAAATTATAAAATACAAAAAAAACAAAAAAAATTTAAGTATCGAAAATCATTGAAATTTTTATTTTTATATTTTATATTGGCTCCAGAGATCAACAAGATCACCGAATCATTCAATGAGTTTTGATGGTAGATTTACTCCTTCATGGAAACTACCTAAACTGGTAGTAGACCGCATAAGAATATCGAACCAAAGATCAGATGATCTTTTGGATATTACCATGTGCCAAGCAAGTGGTCTGAATAAGTCCTGATTCTTTTAGATATTACGACCTGTCAATAGAGTGGTCTGAGTAGGTCCGCCGAATTAAAACCTACCATAAAGTGTATCGACAAAGAAATCTCGAGAGCTTAGCACGATGACTAGTAGAGGTGAACTAGCGGCTTCTGAGAAACCGAGCTCAACTGTGACTATTTTATTGACTTAAGCAGTCAATTTTTCGGCCTAGCCGATCAGTTCAAAAAATCAACTATTCGCACATTTTTGTCCGTTTTAGACATTTGAAGGTTTCTTAGTTTAAGAAACGGAGTACAACAAAAACTGTCACAAACTGTCTTAAGATTTTCTGTGGTACTAATTTGATATTTACATTAATTTCTGCCAATAAGAAATTCAAAGGTCTCTTTCGGGACTTCTGACTTCTTAATAGTAGATTTGTATTTTTAAGAAGAGGTACCATTTCAAAACAATCTTAAATGGATACTGTCTGTTCTACGTCCAATCTCGTCAGGCATGTATTCGTAACCAATAACCAAGAGCTTCAAAAGCATCAGCTTTTTATTAACAATAAGACTCGACACTGCAAATTCGAAACAAGTGAAAATCAATTTATAGTTGCCCAACACTGTGTCGAACTGTGCGACACGATACTCTCTAGGGCCGGCTAACTTTTCAATTCACAAATTTCTAATTGTAAACTTTGTACGGCAGCCTTTTCCGCTCGTATTTCCGTTGCCTCAAGGTATCCGCACAACTAACAACGACTGCTGCTCGTCGGCACTGCCAAGCAGCCAAATTCGGTTACTGGGTTCCTGCCTGCTACCACGACCACGACTAGTACGCGTGTATTTCCTTCCCTCTATTTCCGCCCGCTTAGGGCGCACAATTCATTTGCAGCATTCACCACAATTTGTGCCCGGAATTGTTTTCGCTGCGCTCGTTTTTTGGTATTTAATATTTGTTGCAACTGCATTTTGGCATTCCTTTTGAGGGCGTCTTGCAAAACTCTTCTGGCCATATTCAATTTCAAACTTTTCCCTTGCATTTATTTGCGTGTCCGCGTGTCGGGACCAAAGTTGATATTAGTGCTCTCTCGAAAGTGAATGAGGATTGCGGTAGTATACCGTCGTTGCCGCTTGCCGTTGCAGGTGGCATATTTTGACATTTGCTTTGTTTGTTTAATAGTCGTCTTCGTGTTCGCCGGCGCGCGAGGAGTGCAATTCGTAAAGTTGTAAATTTTATTACACTTGATGGCGCACAAGAAGTAAATAAGTGAAAAATAGTAATATTTTTGTAAAACATTGTTAGTTTTTTTAATGGGCCGACGGATGAGCTGATGTTCCCAATATAGTTTAGGAATGTTTGAAAATCGGTTACTAAACCGGTTACCAGTCCAAGGTTAGGGGAACTGTCTCATTCTTTAATCGGCATTTTCATCAAAATTCAGAAATGTTTGAGACCAGTCTCGTTTGTAGGGAAACTATCTCAGACCTCAAAAACCCCGAAAAATCACATGCTATAAGTCGCTCATTATTGCCGCTCTTATATATGGTGCAGAGGCATGAATGATGACAACATCTGATGAGTCGACGTTACGGGTTTTCGAAAAAAAGGTTATGCGGAAGATGTATGGTCCTTTGTACATTGGCAACGGAAGTAGA